TCTTTATTTCGACTTGAGAACCATCACACTGAGAAGACATTCCTAAGAGGCACAGACTTAGAGTTTACTCTGACAGCCCTGGTTGAAGGAGGTGCCCAGAGGTTGGGTGGTCACTGTGGTTCAATGTGGAAAACTCTCTCTAATTCAGGGACCGAGTCACACAGTCACTGAAGCCTCTGGGCAGAGTTGGGTCATCTCAGAATATCTGTCCCTCACCCAGGGAATAGAATCCCCATGTGAGTTACTTCAGTGTTGCCCCGTTGAGGCAACCAAGTGCTCATTTAGGGTTTTCTGCCACAGGAGTGGGATCCTGAATCCTGGAATGTCAGCATATGAAGGACTGTTAGACCATCCAGCCCAACCCCCCCATGTATGGATGCCTGAGGCCAAAAGGTGACAGAGGACTTGCCCACAGCCACATGACCAGTGATTGAGGGGATTGTTCCAGAACCCCATCTGATTCCAGGGCAGTTCCTTCCTGCCCCAAAGAGAGACGCTGTTTCCATTGAAGAACCTAGTGCATAGTAAGCACTGAATTAAAGCTCATTACAGCAAACCGTTCAACAGGAAGCCAGCACTTCTCCTTTTCATGTATTTCCCAAAGCTTCAGAATACCCCTCGAATTCATACCCTCAAGGTGATTGGGGACCTGTCCCAAACTTCAGCCCCATCACCCCAAATCAAGCATTTATATCAGCACCTACAACTGCCCACTGTTTCAACAGCTGCACACACTCCAGCATATGAAAATAGCATCATCCATTTACAGTCTTCTGTTGATGAATATAAGTTGTTCCCAACCTTGAACTATGAAACAGTGCTGCAGTGGATAACCGTGTCCTTGTGACACTCTACTTATGAGGGAGAGGCCCACTGGAAGTGGCATTGCTAAGTCAGAGGGGACTTCTATAATTTGTGTAGATATTCCCAAATTTCCCTCCTAGACATAGCAATCGAGTCTCCGCACCACCCCTGGACATAGGCAGGGAAGGCGACTTTGTCCTGAATTTGCAGATATTACAAGAGTTCCCAAGGTGCATCCCTTGCCTAGGCCATCACAGCTAGCAAGTGGCACCACTGCCACTCATATGTGCTGCCTCCTGGTAAAGTTATTGTTCCTCTACCCCAAGCCGCCTGCCCAGATGATGCCCTGGGTGAGAAAGCAGGGATGCGGGAGGGGGCTAAGGGGCAGCAGCGTGCCAGATGCTGTGTCTTCCTCGTAGCTTTTACTGCTTATAACCAGTGCTGGGAGGGAGGGCCATCTGTTGCCCCTTTGACAGGTAAGGACACAGAGGCTCAGAGAGGAGACCTGACCTGAACAGGTAGGGGAACCAAAATTTGAACCCCAAGAAGCATAACTCACTACCCTGCTCCCTGCAATATCCTACTATGGAGAAAGCTCCAGCCCTCTTTTTTTTTAATCTTGTATTGTTCTGTTCTTCACCAATAAGAGAAAAAAATCTGTATGGGAGGCAGGGCAACGTTATGTCCTAGATCAGACAGATATACAAATGTCTCATGATGTGCTGAACCTGTTCTTAAAAGATATGACTCAGCATACTTAAAAGTATTCAGTCTTGTCACATGCGGCAACATGGATGCTCTAGAGGGTATTGTGCTAAGCGAAATTAGTCAGACAGAGAAAAACAAATACCATATGATTTCACTTATATGTGGAATCTAAAGAACAAAATAAATGAACAAACAAAACAGAAATAGACTCACAGATACAGAGAACACACTGATGGTTGCCAGAGGAGTGGGAGATTGGGGAGCGGATGATAAAAGTGAAGGGGAATAAGAGGTACAAACTTCTGCTTATAAAATAATAAGCCACAGATATGTAGTGCACAGCATAGGAAATACAGTCAGCAATATCTAGATGATAAATGGTTACTAGACTTACCGTGGTGATCACATCATAGTGTATATAAATGTCTAATCACTATGTTGTATACCCAAAACTATAATATAATATTGTATCCCAACTAAAAAAAAATTTTGAATCATTCACGAGATTCACCACCACCCCCGCTTTGTTGTGGTGTTTTTCCTTCACTGAGCAGCCTACAGGAGCAGCCTGGGGACAGTAGCCTGGATAGAGCAGAGAAAGGCCACTGTAACCCCAGCAACACTGTGCTCCCCCTTTCCTGTGTCTACAGTCGGAGGATGAGGAAGGAGGGGCATTTCCTAGAGGATGCTGGGGACCCCGTGTGAGCAAGAGTTCATATTTGTAGACCCAGATGTCAGGAACCCACATCTACCGATTATAGCAACAGGGTTCTCAGGCCTAGATACTCAACGATGACTCCTCCCTATAATTGCTTGAAGGCAAAAACCTGAGAGGGAGAAGAGCATGGTGATCAGTTTGGGGTTCCTGCAGGTGGGGCACTTGCTCTGTAGATGGGCATGAATCTTGGGGGCCACAGGAAATATCCCTGGGACACAGTGAAGCATGAGGGGACTGTCCGTTCACTTGTTTCAGCCACACTTTTCTCATCTGTAAAATGGTGATAATCATGGACGCCTTTAAAGAGAGTGAAAAGGATTTGAGGCTCTCTGTGTGAACCACGCAGCACAGAGTAGACACACCCCCAAATCAGGTGCTATTTCAAGGTTGTGACCCACTTCCCCTTGCTGAGCCTTAGTTTCCTCACCTTCAGAAAGTGTCTGCGTCTCTTCTAATTTAATAACAGTTAAGAAATTACCCACCTTTGGCTTTCTCAGCACTCAGTGATCTTTGTTTTCAACTCAAAACTGACCCAACAGAAGAACCCAGATTCAGAAAAACACCCCTTTCTCCACTTCCTTCAAATTCAGAAATTGGCACAGATTAGCCCCTACTGGAATATGTGAGGAAAAATGAAAACTATGGAATGAATCAATAAATTCCTAAGAGAAGAGAGCTGGATATAAATAAAGTCTGGGTTCAGATAGACCTGTGTTCTTTTATTTTGGGGAAGCATCTTCTGTTTTACTCAAAGAAAAATGCTTCCATTGCCTGATTGAACCCTCACTGCAGCCCCGGGAAGGAGAAATACCTGCTGTCCCATTTCACAGAAGGAGCTGGAATGTTCCCCCGTCACTCCTCTGGTCAGCTGGTCAGCCTGGTTCCCGCCGTCATGGCGGCCCTGCTCACCATCGCTTCCCCTGCATTTACTTCTGTAAACGCTTTCTCTGAAGTTGGGAAGGTTTCTAGGGGAGGCCACTTAGGAACAGTTAATACGAAGAGGAGGATCCATCAGTAATTTTGTTTCTGTGTCCAGTTTGGTGTGAAATCACCCGGCAGAGAAAAGAAGGTAGACTTTGAACTCAGGCCTGGAATTGCATGTTGGCCCTGCCCCTTACTTACAGGTTACCTTTGGGGACCTGTGTGTCCTTCTCTGTAAGATGAGGATGATGACACCACCCTCCCAGCACTATTAGAAAGATTAAAAAACAATATGTGAGAAGGTTCTTAACAGTGTTGCACGCTTATCCTTAGTGGTGATAATCACAATCGTATTTATTGTTCATTTTGCTCCTTTTGCAGCCAAACCGTCTCCCCCTGTGGTATCAGGCCCCAGGGGGAGGGCCCTACCTGGGCAGACAGTGAGCTTCACCTGTGAGTCCCATGGCTTCTCCCCCCGAAACATCGTCCTGAAATGGTTCAAAGATGGGAATCGGCTCCCAGCCTTCCTGACCACCATGAACCCAGAGGGAGACAGAGCTTCCTACAGCGTCTCCAGCACAGCCATGGTGGTGCTGGCCCCGGGGGACGTTCGCTCTCAGGTGGTCTGTGAGGTGGTCCATGTCACCCTAAAGGGAGTCCCTCCTCTTCGTGGGACGGCCAACTTGTCTGATACCATCCGAGGTAGATCCCCTCCCACCCTGGCCAAGCCCACAACTGGGTCCCTCCCTCCAGGACTGCTTTTCCCCCTGCTCTGCTCCAGGCCTGGAATTTCCTGGAATCAAATTCCTGACAGTCCTTCCCATTACATTACCAGGTACCTAGGTGTCCCCATCACTTTTTATGAGATCAACACCTACCACTGTACTTGATGGTCATCTACATTATCAATAGCAAATTTAATTACTATAAGCCAAGCCCCTATGTGCTTGGTGATTTCATTCATTTCGCCACAGTTAGTACATTCCAACTGCATGCCAGGCCCTGTGTTTGTTGATTTGCCTCATTTGACCCTAATAGGAGCTTCCAGTCCTTGAGCACCTACTGTGTGCAAGGCACTGTGCTTAGATATTTTATTCACATGCAAGGAGCACCCTTAGTGTTTGAGCGCCTGCTGTATGCCTGGCAGTGTCCTGGGTGACCCCCTTGCTGTGGTGGGGGGAGCTCAGTGATGGAGCCCTCCCCTGTGATCTGTCTGTTCCATGAGGTCAGAGCTTCTACCTGTGCTGTTTCAGTTCCGCCCACTGTGGAGGTTACTCAACACCCTGTGGCAGGGAACTGGGTGAACGTCACCTGCCAGGTGAAGAAGTTCTACCCCCAGCGCCTACAGCTGACCTGGTTGGAGAATGGGAACTTGTCCGAAACAGAAACGGCCTCGACCCTCACAGAGAACAAGGATGGAAACTTTAACCGGATGAGCTGGCTCCTCGTGAATTTACCAGCCCACAGGGAGGAGGTGGTGCTCACCTGCCAGGTGGAGCACGATGGGCAGCCGGCGGCCACCAAAAGCCTCACCCTGGAGGCCTCTGTCCACCCGAAGGAGCAGGGGTCAGACATAAATACAGGTGAGGCCACCAGTCCAACGGACTTGGCTTTTATACATTTCATTTGTTTTTAATGTTCAAAGTAGCCATTGATAACTTATTATGTAACAATCTAGAAGTCTATAGATAGAATATTTAAATGAGCTCCCCCTCCCAAATCCCATACTCCAAGAGTCACCAGCAATAGGAGCTAGTACATATTCTTTTAGATCTTTTGACATCAGTACACATTGAAAAAAAGCGAGAAAAGAGGAGGTAGGTTATATGTTCACATCGTCTCACCTATGGCTTTCTTCACCTGTTACTGCGTTCATCATTCCATGTCCATGTCAGCCCACCCGCTCCTCATTGCTCTTTCTACCTGCTACCTGGTCTCTATTCCATCCTAGACTTTTCCATCTGGTCCAGGCACCCAGGTGACCATGAGTGGCCACAGCATAGACCTCCTTGGTCCCCTGATTTATGATAATGGATCAACAATAATCAGAATCACTTTCTGCATGCTGACTAAATGCAAATTTCAGTTCATCTGTGATCTCCTTTCCTGCTTCAACTACCCTGTGAGTTTGGAGTTTTACAGAAGAGACTCAGGGAGCAATGGGGGAAGACTGGCGGGGGAGAGGGGAGTTGTAAAGACTTCGGGTCCTCACACCAGGTGATTGGGCTAAACTAATCAAGGTGAATCTGAGTCTCTGAGGATACAGACCACCAACCTGTACATCAAATATGTACTAATTAGGAACACACTCCCCCTCAGCTGGCCACTGTCCCAAGGACCTATAGAGACGCCCTTTCTGTGAAGAAAATATGTTATATTTCCCTCATGTAACATCAGGAGGTCATTGGGCCAGGATTCCAAGAGTTTTTACTACAGAAAACCTTTCAAAAGCTCACATGTCCTATGGTGTTGTCCTACCTGCTGGGTCAGTGGAGGCCACCTAGTGTCCATGTCGCTGCCTGCTGGAAGAGTAAACATAAGAATGAGAGGACAGATTGCCCCTGAAATAAGAGCTATACAGAAGCTGCATAAATGAGTCCACCCACTTAGTCATGTATGCACATCCAGTTGTAAATGCAGTCCGTAACTGTGTGGGCATATGATCAATGACATTAATTTTTCTACAAAACTAATACCATTACATACTTTATAAAATTGACAATAATTCTCTAATGTCATCTAAAATGGACTATATGTCAAATTTTCCCAAATTACTTTTATAGCTGTTTTTTGTGCACCAAAATTGGTTTTGATTCATCTGTAATAGCTTGGTAGAATTTTCCTGTGAAATCACCTAGGCCTCAAGAACCCTTTTCCAGATTTGAAAAAGATTTTGAATAGTTTAGGGCTATTCACATTACTCATTTCCTATTGGGTGAATTGTGGTAGGTGGTGATTTTTTAGGAACTTGGTCCACCTTCTCTATGTTGTCAAATGTCTACCTGTAAAGTTGTTTATAACATTCCCTTATTATCCTTTTGTTGTCTGCAGGGTCAGTTCTGATATCCCGTTTCATTCTTTTTTTTTTTTTTTTAAGATTTTTATTGGGGAATTGGGGGAAGGCTAACAGACAAGTTGCTGTCCTTTTGTTCTTCAGTCTAGTTGTAGAGGACGTTGCTTCACTGGCCCAAGTTGGCACCATCATTGCGCTGTTCCCGGGCAAGGCAGATCAGTCGGTAGCTGCTGGCTGCTCACGCTAGCTGCTGGCTACATAGGGTAGCCCATGGCAACCCAATGCAGCAGGGGTTGCAGCCTACGCCTTCACCAGCAACTCATGGCAGCCCAGCTCCAGGTTGAGCTGTTGTTCAGCATCTTAGCTGTAGAGGGCAGTGTCACTGGCCCTCATATGTGGAATCCAAACCAGGGCCCTCTGGCGTCCCAAGCCAGCTCTTAACCAACGCACCACTCAGCCGGCCCTCCCGTTTCATTCCTGATTTGGAAGTTGGCATTTCTCCTTTTTTCTCACCAGTCTTTGTAAAATTTTTTCAATTTTATTGATCTTTTCAATGAACCCAACTTGTTTTAGTGATTTTCTCTATTGCGCCTTCATTTTTAATTTTATTGTTTTTTCTTCTTTTTACTTTGAATGTCTTTCCTTCTTCTTCTTTGGGGTTGATTTTGCTCCTTCTTTTCTTGTTTCTTGAGGTGGGAACTTACGTTATTGACTTTTAAATTTTTCTTTTTTCCAATGCCACACATGGGTCACCTTCTGTGCCTGGGGAATTAGGAGAGTGGGACCTACAATGGCTGGACTATGTGTTCTTCGTCCAGTCCTCAGCCCCCTATTCAGTCTGCCTTCCTCTTCTACCTTTCAGAGTCCTATGCTTGTACCTGGTGTCATTTCTAGGGGTCAGAGTTGTACTGAACTAGAGAGCAGGACAGATGAGACTCCACCATGTTGTTTGAGTTTGCTTTTTAGTCTCCGCCTCCTGCTGGGGCTCAGACCAGGCTGCTACTTCCTGGTACTTTCAGTGTGCCTGACCCAGCATTTTGCTAAGTATTAGGGCAGAAAATGGTTTGGGGTTGTCTGGTTGATAAGCTGGAGCAAAGTGCAAGAGGCCTATGTGACCCTGTGCACTGGGATGTCTTATACTACCTCAGTGTCTGAGGGCTCAGGCCACTGCAGTCCTGGGCCAATGGGCCTGGTGTGAGGGTACACACCTTTTTGTTCATGATTATGGTACTGACGTGGTTTACAATATTTCTATCCTAATGGACCTTTCTCTGTCAGTATAGGATAACCCAGGCATGTTAATGGAGTTTGGGGTTGGTTGGATCCTTTTGATAGTGAGAGAAATGTTCTGAGTCCTTTAATGTTTTCAGTTCTCTTTTGCTTTTCAGGACTCCAAATGTCCCTGCCGCCCCACCTCTTGTTCCTTTGTCTCCTCATCACTCAATTGTCAAACAATACTTCTCTCTTTGTTTCTTTTGCCTTTTCCCCCCAGGAAGTTATGCACGATAAATCATGCCTGTCCCTTTAATCTCAGCTGTCCTTTTAAAATGTCCCTGCCACTTTGTATTATTAGGTCTTTGGAAAGTCATGACGCATGTTTGTAACAGATGGCACTAGTTCATTTTTGGAAGTACTAGAGTCATTCACATCTATGTTATTGCTATGTCATTTGACAGCTGACAGTTCTAGCTTCATTCTAAAAAAAAAAAATTGAGTGATTTGGTTGAGTTTTGGAGATTTTACAACAAGTTGAAGATGGAAGACCAAACTGCATTTTTGCCATATTTTACTGTTTTACTTCCATAAAGGGAAGAACACACGTCAAGCTTTTGAAAAGTTGCATAAAGTTTATGGTGACAATGCTTTATGAGAACGTCAGTGCCAACGATGGCTCATGAAATTTCGTGCTGGTGATTTTGATCTCAACAATGCTCCTCGGTCAGAGAGGCCCACCGAGGTTGATGATGACAAAATAAAGGCATTGATCGAGTCAAACCCATGTTACATGACATGAGAGATTGCAGAAACATTGAACATACATCATTCAAGCGTTCACGACCACCTGAAGAAGCTGGGATATGTAAGCAAGCTCCATATTTGGGTTCCGCATGAACTCAAAGAAGTTTATTTGAGTTTATCTGCAATATGCTCATTAAACGTGAGGAAAACGATACTTTTTTGAAGCAACTGATAACTGATGATGAGAAGTGGATTGTTTATAACAATGTGGTGTGCAAACGGTTTTGGTCCCGACGTGATGATTCGCTTCAAATGACATCGAAAGCAGACCTTCATCAGAGGAAGGTTATGCTCTCAGTGTGGTGGGATTTTAAATGTGTCATGTTTTTTGAGCTCCTACCAAGGAACCAAACAATCAATTCGAATGTGTACTGTCAGAAATTGGACAGTTTGAATGAATCCATCATCCACAAACATCCAGAGCTTGTTAATTGTAAAGGAGTTGTGTTCCATTGCAACAACATCAAGACCACACACAAGTTTGATCACCCATCAAAAATTACTGGAGCTTGGATGGGATGTGTTGCCACACCCACCATCCTTGCCTGAACTTGTGCCATCAGAATTCCACTTGTTTCACTCTCTTTAAAACTCCTTGCGTGGTATAACATTCAATTCAGGCTGTAAATCAGCACCTTGTTCAGTTTTTCGCAAATAAAGGCAGGTCCTTCTATGAACAAGGAATTATGAAGCTCACTGAAAGATGGCAAAAGATTATTGAACAAAACTGGCAATATATCATTGATTGATCTTTGTTCCTTATATAAATAAATGACCTTTGAAAAACATAGACACAATACGTCATGACTTTTCCGAAGACCCAATAGTTTCTTATTGCTGCTGTAACAAATTACCACATGTTTAGTGGCTTAAAACAACACAAGTTTATTACCTTATAGTTCTAGAGGCCAGAAGTCTACAATGGCTTGATAAGACTAGGTTCCTTCTGGAGCCTCTAGGGAAGAAGCCACTTCCATGCCTTTTCCAGTTCTAGAAACACCCACGCTCCTCAGCTAAGGGCCCCACATCACTCTGAACTCTGCTTCCGTCATCACATATTCTTCTCTGAATCTTCTGCCTCCCCCTTTAACTTATAAAGACCTTCATGATTACATTGGCTCTACTCAGATAATCCAAGATAATGTCCCCATGTCACGATCCTTAACTTAATCACTACTGCTAGACTCTTGCCATATAAGACAACATAATAACAGATTCTAGAGATACTGTGCTGACCCTTTTACATCAGCCGTACTTTGAAACCTCTTCCTGTGATCTGAGCTCTGATCTACAGAACACTTTTCCAATATTTTCATATTTAAGGTAGATTTAATGCCGGTGATGTGATTTCTAAATAATTCTCAGACTCCTTTGTTAGCTTCCCTCACGTGTTCCTCCAACACTCTTTCTTGTGGTTGAGTGAAGGTAGGCTGGCAGCCTTGTGACAGGTTGTGCGCTAGGATTTGGTGATTTTTCCCTTTTGTCTCACAGTTGTTTTTCGGTTTTGGCATTTTTTCTTCCAGTAATACTGAGAGCCAGTTTTGTGTGGAATTTTATTTCTTTTTTTTTGGTTTGTTTTTTTAGTTTGGAGAGGATAATTTTGAAGATAAGTAGCTATGCTGCTGCCATTGTCCTCAGCAGTACAGAAGGGGACTGAAGATTTTGGGGTGCTTTGATCCATAGGTCCCTATCCCCCATCTCTGGGTCCCATACTTCTCCATACAGGCCCTACTCTGGCAGATCAAGCCCAGTGAAGTAAAGAATCCAACCTTCTTTGTAGTTCTGCTCTTCTTATATAGGTGTCTTAGCCCAATCCTCAGCTTATTCTGTCTTGTGTCTCCAGGGGATAAGAATCTGCAATGCTGTCAAGAAGTTCTCCGGCTCACACTTACCCTTTAACTTGTGATTAATCATTTGTAGCTTTTCTTTGTCTTTCACCAAAAGATGGATGCCCCAGTGACAGCCATCCAATCCTACAGTCCTTTTGACCATTTCCCAACTCATTTTCAAATGCCTGGTGCCAAGTTATTCCTTTCCTCTGGTTACACTATCCCAGTTCACCACCAGCAAAAAATTTAACAATTGCACCAATAAGGGCAAGCTGAAGACGGCAGGTTTCGTGAGGTCAGGCCAAGCTGAGGGCTCCCTCAGCTCCTGAGAACATGGGGTCATCCATGCCCACTCCGGTGCAAAGCACGGCAGCCTTGAAATTCTCCCACTGTGAAACCTCTCCTCATTCTACTCAAATGACATGTTGACATTTTTCTAATAACTCTGAGAGATTGAACTTGTCTTGGTCTAAAAGGCACGGTCTCAGGGTCATCATCCTACAGGACAACAGTGATGGGTTTCCCTAGGTTTGAATCCCACTAGTCTTGAGATTCTCCTTAAACTTTCTGAGCCTGTTTCTTCATCGTGGTGATAATACTAACTGCCCAGAGGAGTGTGAGGACCAAGTCAGTAAACCAGGAACCACACTTATGCATCACTGAGTACACATTCCCTCCACCCCTTCCCGCAAAGAGGACAATGCTGGCAGCCTAAAAAGGGGTGAGTGAGGATGAGGAACCTCTTTTTACCCTGGTTACTGCCTCGAGCCTGAGCCCAGGGCAGGATGCAGGTACAAAACCTTCTGAGTGTTGATGGGCCCAGGTAACCTCAGATGGAGTAAATGGTGGCCTCTTGGAAGGGTCTTCTATGTGATCCCCTTTAATGGCTTCTCCTGTCCCTTGTTTCCAGGCCCAGCAATGTCTACTCAATTCCTCATCGCTTTCCTCCTAGGATCAAAGGTGCTGCTGGCAGCTGGTGTCTCCGCCTTCTATGTCCACAGGAAGCTGAGGGCCTGACTGTAAGTTGCTGGGCAGGGAGGGCAGGCCAAGGGCTGGCCCAGAGGGGCCAGGTCAGGAGGAGGGGCCAGCTCACAGGTCACACAGGGCCAGGACCCACAGGGAGTTAAGAGAAGGTGACACACCTCTCTCAATACTCTCAGGAGTCTCGGGAATCCCTCTAAGAGGTTCCCAACCCTGAGGAAGTGTGTGGGATCTTGCAGCAGGTGGGCTGCATCAATGGTTTTAAAGGGTATCCGCAGCATCCTAGGGCTTTTGTGGAGGAAGTGGGCAGAGGGGGCTGAATGAGGGGCAGCTGAGTGGATGGTTCCCTTGGAGACCATATCTAGATTATTTGATCGCTGGGGCTCCTTGGGATAAAAAGAATCTGCATTTTAAGATAATGTCTTGAAGTCCTGGATGAGCTGCTCTGAGGTCTAGTCAAGCTCTGACCCTCTGGTGTGACAGAGTAAAAAGGATGGGGAAGGGGATCAGGACCTGGGGAGGAAGGCTGAGGTGACAAAGTCCTACCTCACAGGCTGCCTGTCCTCTCACGACAGGTGTCCCAGGAGGAGGACAGCTGAGGACATAAGACGTGCAGAGAACGCTTCTTGAATGATGAGCAGATATTTAACTGTTGACTCATTTCCCACAGCTCCTCCCTTCCTTCCCTACCTGCTACATGCCCCCCTCAGTCTCTGCTGCCCCTTCTCTTCCCAAAGGGCCCAGCCTAAGAGAAAGAGCCACCAGAAGCTTCCACAGACTCTGTTTTAAATGCCTCGCCTCCCTGGAGACTTGCCTGCCCACGAGCTCCTGCTGCTCCACTCACAGTCCTTGGTGCCCCAGAGCTGGGTCTTCATACATGGTCCTGAGCAGGGGCCAGGAGAACTAGCTCTAGGAACTGACTCACGACATCTCCCTAGAATGTGAAAAATCAGTCAAATCTACACATATCAAGATACCTCTATCACCTATAGACTGCCACAACCTACACATTTATGTCTATGCCCTGAAAGACTTATTCCGGTTCCAGATTCCTGCCTACCCCTGACTCCCCAGCCTCACTGAGGTTCTCTATTGCCTCTTAAGTACAAATAACTCCCATCCTGGTTTTAATTAAAAAAAATTATTTCCCTCTTTCTTAAATGCCCTACTTCTCAAACCCAGAAAGAAGTTTTCCCTCCTCCCTCTATAATGGGAACACCAGTTCTTCTATCATTTTGCATCCTCCCAACCCTGTTGCTCTTGGTACACATGCTGTCAGTGCAGAAGCCTTGGAGTCATCCTTGATTTCTCTCTCTTTTATATCCCAAATTTAATTCTGCCATCAAAATGCCTATGTCCAGGGTGAAATGGTAAATGTTTAACAATCAAGTCTCCCAAAGGAAAAAAAAAAACGCCTGATTTTGTAGTGCTTATCAGTTTCTGTGGTGTAAGTACTCCCAATGTGGCCAATTTCAAGGTACCAACCGTTTAACAGCAAGCTTGCAAAATCCTGCGATATGAAAACTGGCTCCCCTGAGCCAGCGCAAGCCTTCTCCCGCACACCACTGAGTTATAGCCACAATCTGCACACTTCCCACCCCCACTACTACTCCCTGGTCCCAGCCACCATCATCTCTTCTTGGACCATTCCTATAATCTCTAACTGCCTTTCCTGTTTCAGCCACAGTGATTTTTTGGAGATGAAAGTCAAACAGTATACTGCTCTACTGCTTTCCCTAACATATCTGCTTGCCTTACTCTCTCCTTTTTCTCAAGTCTCTGCTCAAATGTCACTTTATTAAAGGCACCTTCTGGCAGCCACCTTATAGAAAATATAAATTCTTCTCTCTCACGCTGGCATTCCAATTTCTCTTAACCTGATCCATTTGTTTCCTTAGCACTTATTACGATTTGGCATCTTACATATAGGCAGCCCTCACTTTGCATGGTAGTGCAGGACTGTAAAAACGACTGCAAACTAAAACCACAGAAAGTGACCTCAATAACCAATGGGGAAAATAATGGTTGTTCTGTGACTTTTGAAATTTTTTTAAAAAACATTAGAAATTTTCTTTCTTTTTTT